GTTGTAGAACCGGAAAAAAGAGAGGGAGGCCGAGGAGGTCAAAGAGCGCGATTCAGGAGAAGCGAAGACATAAGAGATGCATAGGAATGGGTGTCTACGACGTGCGGCGAGGCTGTCTTAGAAAACAAGAGCGAAGCGCGTGCGGGGAACGATGAGCTTTGATGATCGAAACAGCCACAACGGATGTTGTACGGGTCATGTGTGTGCGGGTGTGTGGGGCATAGAAGACATCCGAAGCGAACGCACATCGTTTTTCTTCCTCCTTTTATATATGTATATCTCGTTCTCTTTCTTTCCGTGTTTTTTCGAGACACGTACGGCAACCACTTCATGTAGTTGAAGTAAACAAAAAAAAATTCAAAAGACATAGAAGAGTTACGTGTAAATAACAATAATAACAATAATTTTATCGTAAAGGAAGAAACAAAAACAAAAACAAAAACAGATGCTTCCTTTCTAATTCCTCTCCCTACACGTTTGTGTTCTTGAATTAGCTCCGTGAGTTCGCATGGCACACCGGTCGTCCAACCGCTGCAACGCAGGGGGTAAAAGATGCATCAGCGATGCGAGAACTCCTCAGCAGATGCAATTCAAGTATTTCTCTCTTTTCTTATATATAAAGCAAAAGCCGTAGAGAGAAGAAAAGAGCAATACCATGGTATAAAACAAAGAAAAGGCATCGCAACGCACGGATACGGTTGCGTGTGAGCGTGAACGTCTCAAACATGCAGAGAGAGAGAGGGAGAAAGAGAGAAAGAAGTCAACTTTTTCAGAAGACAGCATTGACGAGCATCACGCTGCGTAAACAGAAAAACAGAAAAAAAACTTCGATGCAGTCATCATGTTGCTTCTTTCCTTTCATGTTCTTTTCGGGCTTAATCAACCACAGTTTTCATTCTTTCAACCGCCTCTGAAGAAAGTTAGCATCATTTACGTAAGAGGTAAATAAAGAAAAAATACATATATATATATATATATATTTGTCTTTATTCATGGTCGGTGCTGCGGAGTTTCACGTCTTCTCCGCATTCCCATTAAAGGAAATGCATGAAGAGGAAGAGAAAGTGAGGTCGAAAAAATCGTGGTGTTCTCGGCACATCGCAACACACACACACACACAGGCACAGACACGTAACCACGAAAGAAGACCCTAATTTGAACAGTAACTTCTTTTCCATATATATATATACCTAAAAAAAAAACACGAAAAGCTTTCATTCAACAGGGACAGTGAAAACAAGCGAAAGGGAGTAAAAATAAATGAAACAGAACGTTTAATAGTGTCGGTCGTCCCCCTCGTCGTTCTCACACAGTTGTTGTTGAAGAAAACAGAAGCGCACACTTTCTCCAGGCTGCAATATAGAGGAGCCCTTTTTGTTTGTTTTCCCGCTTTTTTAAACTGTTCTTATCGTCACGATGTCCCTCCCCCCCTTCCTCATGAACCTCTTCATTTTTTCCGGTTGTGGTTCCTCCTTGCCTCAAAGTACTCACTCCTCTTCCGTTGCCGTGTTCTTTTCCTTTTCCTTCTGCCTTCGCTTCTTCTTTTCCCCCTCCAATTTGCGCCGCGAAACGCCGAATTTCTCTCAATAAAGGAAAAAAATGGAAAAGAAAACCCCCACTCAAATGAAAAACAACAACAACTGCCACCGTCAGCATCTACTACCGATGTGCCCACCCCCACCCCACCCCTGCAGCGGATGCCGCTAGGGGAAGGGGGGGGAACGCACACTCCGTGAATGACCTTCTCTGTTTCTACAGCTTTCATTGCTATATATCTTTCTTTGCAGCGTGCGCGTCGTTACCCACCCACGGTGGTCAACACGGACATAGAAAAACAGTAAAAGAGGTGTGGCGAGAGAGAAAGATACTGAAAGAATCTGTAGAGCACGATTTGCGTACCCACGAAAAGAAAAAGGAAAAGGATGATAATAATTGCGACCAATTTGCGGCCAGAAAATACACACAAGACAAACAAGAAAGATTCCATTGTCCGCGTGACCCCTCACACCTTACCTTCTTTGTTGTTGCGCCGTCTTCGCTTCCTTGAAATTTGCTCAAGGAGAGAGCAGTGGAGACGGATGGAGATTGCTCCGAACAAAAGGCTCACGGCACACACAGGCGGGAGGTTCGGAGGTGGTCAAGCGCAGCCAGAGAAACAGAAGTCGAAGAAACACGTTAGGATGCTGCACAGCACGTTTTATACAGTGGCGTGGGGAAATATATCAATCACTACTTGAGAGGGAGAGAGAGACGCGGCATTCCTGCGGCAGGAGTGGAAAAGAGAAGGAAGAACGTAAGAAAAAAAGGCGAATGGAAGGCGAGCACATGAAACTGTCGGTGGAAACACAATCTACGAAGGAGGGCACAAACACACACACACGCCAAAAAAAGTAATAATATTAATAATAATAAGGGAGAGATCCTCTTTGAGAGATTTATTTTCTTTCTCTTTCCCTTCTCCGCTTCGAAGACCTACACCTGCTTCACCAAGCGCTTGAACGCTCGTCCGACGCGGCTCTGCTTCTCCGGCCAGAGGAACAGGTAGCACAGCACACCAGGGAACGTCATGCAGCAGCTGATGAAGACGCAGCCGTAGGAGTAGTTGCCGTGGTAGCGCGTCTGCAGCTGCGCCTGAATGGGCGGAGCAGAGAAGCCGCCGAGGCAGCCAGCCACAAAGACGCAGCCCATGAAGAAGCCCAGGTTGGGCCCATGGAAGTCGCGCGCGATGAGGGCGGGCATCATGGCGAAGACGCCGGCCGTGCAGAAGCCCACAATACTCCAGCACACGGCGAAGGCAGCGTAGCCGCGGCAGAAGATGAGCAGCGCCGTCGACACCCCACCCACGGAGGCGCAGATCGTGTAGGCGAAGGCGTCCGTCGTGATGGAGGCGAGGGCGCCGATGAGGACGGAGCCGATGATCTGAAACGAGCCCCAGAAGGTGAACACAGTCGAGGCCTTCGAGGTGGAGATGGGTGTGACGTCCGCGTACACCGTGCCCGCCGCTCCCATGGACGACACGTACGGCACGGCAACATAGATCAACCCATAGAAGGCCCAGCCGTAGATGGCGAACATGAAGAAGTGGCTGAGGAAGCGGACGGAGAAGAAGACGCAGAATATCTCGGGCCAGCGCAGGCGGCGGGTGTGCATGTCCTCAATCAGCTCATCCACCGTGCAGTTGCGTGTGTCACGAGGGGTCCGGTTGCTCTCTGCATTGCTGACAGGTGACATGACGGTGCCGGCGGCGTTGCCGCTGGGTTTCGGCTTCGTCGGAATATCTGACGCCGCCGCCACGCCCTCGTCCAACATCAGCTCTGGCGTCTCGCGCTGGTTGTTCGGGTCCACGTTGAGCACGGCGTGCTCCGCGTGGTCGGGCTGGTCGTCGTAGCTGCTACTCACCGCCGTGTCGGCCTCGGAGTGGCTGCTGCGGCGGTCGCGCGGCTCCACCTCGACGTCGTCCTCGATGGGGTGCCGGCGGCACGAGAGAAAGGTGCCGACGAGGCCGATGGAGCAGAAGGCGGACATGAGGCGGAAGGTCTTACGCCAGCCGTAGACGTCCACCAGGCTGCCAAGCACCGCCGGCACGACCGCGCTGCCGATGCCGCCGCCGCAGAAGTTGATGCCCTGGCCGAGGCCGAGACGACGCCGGAACCACGAACTCGTCGCCGCCGCGCCGGGAGACAGCATGAAGGCCGAGGAGATGGAGGCGAGCAGCGAGTAGGCCGCCGTCACCTGCGCGGAGCTCTTCGCAAAGGAAGAGCTGAGCCACAGGCCTGCGAACAGCATCACGGTAGAGAGAAACATCATCACACGGGGCGGGACGCGATCGACGAGGAAGCCGGCCAAGACACCGAAGATAGGCGAGAGGCCGAGGGAGACGGAATTGCCAAAGCTCACCATTGTCGCGCTGGGGTAGCCGAGGGTGGGGTCGTTCTGCATGCTGTTGCTGAAGATAGAAAAGCTGTTATCGATGCCGTAGCTCATCATCTGCATGAGAGCGCCGGATATGGCAACGATGTAGCCGATCCAGTGGTCGGCCGGCTTGTGCGTGACCGCACGGTCGATCCTTTTACAGAACTGAACAAGCTGCATTTTTTGTTTTTGTTTTGCCGTTGTAGTTTTCTTGTTAAAAAGAACTTTAAATCACAAAGCAAGGTAAAAAGAGAAAAAAAATTAAAAAATAAAGAGAACAACTGATGATAGTTAAGAGGAATTGGAAATAAAGTGTGGTAGACGCGAAGTGTGAAGAGCTGCGACTGAGAAAGGAAGAAAACAGAGTTTATTCTCTTTCAATTCTGCGGCGAGGTGGATTTTGAAAGAACGAGTTAAAATATATAATATGGGAAACAGAAGGTGGAGAGCGCAGGAGTGAAGATCGAAAGAAATAAAAAAAAATGTACAGTCGTGGTGATGTGAAACGGTTCGCATGAATTTCCCTGTCCCAAAGAGCGCGTGTAGTTGGCTCGTAAAGATAGAAGTATTGAGGGAAAAGTGTCATTGAGTGTCCCCGCGGTTGTCTATCTCAAACGGCAGCCCTGAAGAAAACAATGGTGTGTATGTGTGTGTGTCCTTCATGGAGAGCATTTTACACGCTCACTTTACGTTTTGATCGCCTCTTTTGAACACGTGCCCTCACAACAGCACAGCACTGTTTGGCAGAGGAGAACAAAAAAGAAAAGAAAACTGTGTATGCAACGAGCAGGAAGAAAAGGGAAAAGAAAAGAAAAAGAAAAGGTATCTGATGAGCAAGACGAGGCGGAAGTAAACAACAAAAAAGCGAACATGCAGTTCATTTGCACGGTTTGGGAGCAGCTGATGATTCTGCAAGTCGACGCGCACGACTCCTCCGCGCAGTTTCGCGGCCTTCCATGAGCAGCTCCTGAGCTCGCCGTGCCTTGGCGTTGAAATGCGCGTGCCGATCTTCACGAATGCACCGCAGAGCCCGTTGCGCTCGCCGCACCTCCAGTGCACGGCAGCTTCTCTGCGGTAAGGGCGGCGGCGTTGGCAGCGTTGCCGGTGAAAGTGACGACTGCCGAGCACCACGCGCTTCACAATTGCCGTCCCTCTCTGTCACTTGCGCAAGAAGAAATTGTTCATTGTTATGCCTTCTTCTTGAAAGCCGTACCGATATCTCCTTTCGATTGGGAGAGCTGGATGAGACCGCCGGGATGTTTTGAACAGTGGTGACCTTTGTCTTTCGCATCTCCTCTCTAGACGATGCCGGAACTGTCACGGGCGCGCTTTGACCGTTGTGCGCGTGCGCGCCGTTGGAGAAGTGAATGTTGTGGGTTGCCCCGGTAGCAGTGGTCAAGGAGTTGAAATACGGTAGCGTAGGCGACGGCGCACGACCGGACCGCAGGGGTGAACTACAACATTCCTCCATAGCTAAGAAGCTCATGTCACGGAGCTCATCCACCAGTTGCGCCATGTACACCTGCTGCAATGCATCGACGCGCTGCAGCTCCAGCTCCAACTCGCGGGAAAGAGCTACAGCATGCGGAAGCTCGGTGTCATTCATAAGGCCAGTTGATGGAAAACAAACGAAAAAGGTGTTTGGGGAGAGTAGAACAAAGACAATGCTTCATTACGTTTCCGCAGTTGTTGTTTTTAAGACGGAGTTCGTCACGTACTGTATTCTCTAAACGCACTAGAGAGGAGACGCTACACGTCAGTGAAAGCAGCTGAAAAAAAAGGAGGAGAAGACTAGAGGAAAAAGAAAGATCGTCAGAAGTTGACAAGAGAGTTCACATCATGTTACTCATCATTTTTTCTTTGTTTTGCATTGGGCTGCAGAAAACGCAAATGCCGCAGTGGAAGAGCTAGGAAGTTTGCCTCGGTTTGAAAAAGGCAAACATCGCTGCAGAAAAAAAGGAAGATTACGGAAAACCAGGCCACATACAACAGCCATTTTCTGTCGAGTCTTCGAACTTCTCAGCACAGCCGTCGTTAAAACTACAAAATGAGACAGAGAAAGTCCCTCTACATTATTGACGACTATTTTTTTTTGTCAGCACAAGATTTTTTTAAACAACACGTTCATACAGTAGTGCACAAGTTACGCGAATTAGAAAAGCAAGGACTGCTTAATTTTAAGAATTATTTACTTTCCTGCCATTCCACACAATTTACCAGCGCAGGAAAAAAAACTCAATTAAAAGGAAATGCTTACTTGACAAAAAAAAAAAAGGTGTCAACCGGTGTACATGCACGTTCACGAAAGCACAGAAGATAATGCTCTTACTCACTGCAGAAAAAAAAAAGATGTCGTTCAACAGAAGTAGCAATGATAATAGTGACAGAACTGGTTTTCAACAACCTTGTGATTCAGCATACAAGAGGAAACCTATCACAGCAGCTACCAATAGCTGGAATTTCATTCTTTCGCTGCGGCCAGAAACTGCGCCCAGAGCGCGTCGTCAGACTCATGCTCAGCGTCCGCCCCAAAAGCCTCCACAGCTTCCTGTATTTTACGGGCAGCTTTTCGCTTCTCCTGACGCCTCGTCTTTCGCTCCTTTTCCTCTTGCTCTAGCATGTATGTTGCCACGGTCGCGACCTCACCTTCTTCATCATGATCGTGTACAATGCTGGTTTGCTTTTTTTCGCTGCTCTTGTGAGTTGCCTTCACCTTGCGCGGTTTCGCCATCTCCTCATCGTCGTCGGCGTCCTTGTTGCCTTCGGCATCAGCATTGGCGGCCTCAATGCTATCGTTTTCCTCGTCCGAACCTGCATCGCCTCCTTCCCCATCACTGGCGACTTCTTCCTCTTCTTCGTCACCGCGGTTCATCGTGTTGTCCACGACGTTGAAAGCGCTATAGTGCTCGATCACCCTCATCTGTTTTTCTTGCGGCTGCTCCAGAGCGTCACGATAATGCTTGTTCGATTCAAACGGGGGTGCATTAAACCACGGCAGGCGTCCGCGCTGCCAATCGTAGAGCACCATGCGCGCCGCGGCATCCACGTCCGGTTCGCCGCCGGCGACGAGCTTGCCGCGAAGTTGGGCCAATTGTTCGAGGAAATCGACGACGTCGCGCCATTCCCTCACACCGTAAGTTGCGACAATATCACGGTGCTTCACAATTTGCAAGACGGTGTCCACGACGTCCGTCTTATCCGCGTTTCCGAGCCGCTCGACACGCACTACACCTTTGAGGACAGCCTGGACGTCGTTGTTTGCTTCACGGTCGTACACGACACCTGGGCAATCGACCAAGAAAATGGAACGCGTCAACGCAACGTACTGCCAGATTTTAGTCTCGCCGGGAATTGGCGCGACTTTGCAGACAGTTTTGCGACGGAGAGTGTTGATAATCGAGCTTTTGCCTACGTTCGGATAACCAATCACGCCGACCGAAATTGGCGTCTTTGTGCGCTTGTTACCGCGGTGCGTCACGTTGTGCAAACGAGCAAATTGGCGGAGCAGAGAAATAAGGTTACCCTTCCCAAACGGGTGGTTTACGCTAGCGTGGAAAGCGATGGTGGGGTAATCTTTGCTAAGAATCTGCAGCCAACGCGCGGTGGCCCAGAGCGGAACTAAATCGCACTTGTTTAGCACAAGAACAAAATGCTTGTATTTCTTCTCGCGACGCATAAAATCTTCAAGGAAGGCACTGCGCGTCCCCAGCGGATCACGCGCATCCACGACGTAGAGAACGACATCAGAGCTGTCAATCACCTTGTACAGTTCACACCAAATACGGTTAGACTGGCCTTTCGTCATCAGAATGCCGTTCTTTGATTTATCTTTACGGTCTTTGACGACGCCCTTCATCAAATCACGGTCCTTTTCCTTGTTGGTGTCGTAATTGTCACTCTTGTCGCTCGCCTCCGTCGCCAAAGCATTCATGTCGACCGCGTTCAAGCGTACACGCTTGCGGTTCGCCTTGTCGCCGAAAGTTTTGTCCCATTCCATTTCTTTGCGGATGCTACCGTCCACACTTTTGGGCTCCTCGAGAAGACTCAGTGGAAGTTTCGATTGCTTGATGATAATGCTGTACGGATCCTTGTACTTCGCACCCATTTCCTCGCGGAACTGCTGGAGGGCTTCCTGGCCAATTGTTCGAGTATTGCCAAACCACCGACGATCAGGAGCGATGCGTGCCATGTCTTGTTCAATGCGATCAGACGCCTTTAGCACACTGCCTTTGATGATGTTACCTTTTTCATCGCGCTTAATTTTGGATTTATACATTTTTAAACGCTTGATCGTACGCTGATCTCGGAGACTGGGTCTGTTCGGGTCAGTCCGGCGGTTCGGATTTGTTGGGGCCAAAAGCCCCTTTCCTGCCTTCTTACCTGGCTTGCCCATTGTGACGTAGCTACAACAGCAAAAAAAGATGAAGGGGAACAGGTGTAATGAATCGTGAACCGTCAAAAAAGGAGAGGTAGTGAATAATAATGACCTCCAAAACACTACTGAATAATAATAATAAATGAGTAATTCCTAAGGTGTAAAGACTGGCACTCAGAAGAGGGGCAAATAAAACACAATTTGCCTTTATTATGCGCACTTTTACAATAGAATTTAATAGTCGTGAATGAGAGTGACAGAATTATTGTGAAAAAAAACCATGACATTTAAAATAGAGTATGAAAACGAAAGAAGTGAGCATATGCGAGGAATTAGTTAACTTCACGAAGAGGTAAAGCAGGAATGAGTGCTTTTCTGTTGAAACACAGGAGAATTGCGCCTTCCTAATTATGCCATCATACTGAATAACAATTCGCACAGAATCAGCATATGGGAAATATTTATATAAATGTATATAAATGTATATAAATATAAACATATATTACATAGCACCACCGTGAACAGTAGCGGTGCTTTCACGTCTTTCCGGCTATCACATCATGATGTCACAAAGAAAAGAGTCGCAGAAAAGTCGTTGACGAGTAAACAATTCTCGCGTTTTTCCGAAAACGTTCATTTTCCATGCCGAGTGCAAGGCAAGGAGTAGTAAAATGCTTTTTCACTTTCAACGTTTACGTCACACTTACAGTAAATACACACACAAACGCACGAGTGCGACAAACAAGCCAAAAATACACTGGCTGCACCTTTGACTAGAGAAAAGAAAAAAATGCATTTAACTCCTGTTTTTTTTTCTTTTTTTAAGACGCAGCCTTTTCCTCGCAGATGTGGTGCGCCCGTTTCGGCTTTCATCGCTGTACAAAAACAATTTATTATACCAACACTATTTTTACCATTTCCACAAATTACTTCTTCGTGGTGGGGCGAACAGCATCGTCAAACCACGAGTACTCCTTCGAGACATCCGCGAGATCCGCATCCGTCACCTCCACTTCCTTGTCCAGACCCATGACGTCGTGAATGATGCTGGCATCATCCTTACCGCGAAGCTTGCAGCCAAGGCCGATACTCATGAAGTCGAGGAGGCCCTGCACGCCAAACTTCTCGGCAGCAGTCATGGTGAGCAGGTAATGCTTCTGGTGCAAGGGAGAGCACAGGCGCTGGTTGAAAAAATCATTATCCCACTTCTCCGTGACAACGTAGGAGAAGTCGCGGTAAATGCAAGGACGAGTGAGTTCGCTAGCAGCTTTGCCCTCCACGCCGTAATGTGCAGCCCAGCGGATGAGGTGCTCAAGAACAGTCGCTGGGTACTCAAACTCGGGGATTTCGTCACCCTCCACCTGTTTGATGAACGGACAGACGCTCGCCTGTGACTTCGGGACCTCGATGTACTTGCCATCCTCGCAATGCACGATGATGTACAAATCGCGATCCACCTTGAACTCGCCGTTGGGACCCTTCAGCACAACACGGGTATCGAGAACGGGTTCCTCGGTCATTGTTTTCTTGTTGTAAACCTGGAAAATCAGCAAAGAAAAATAGCTGAAGGGTGTTATTTTCTGGCGCGCGAGAATCCAATGTGTTACGCTGCTTGCGAGCGAGGCAAGTGGGCTTCGAAAAAGGAGCTTCTTGTTTAGCTTTTCTGAAATTCAAGCACAGAGGAGAGAGTGTTGGAAAAGGTGGAGTATGAAATGGAGAAGGAGGAAACTGACAGTATGTTAGTTATCACGGAACAAAAATAAACATCGGCGCAAACGGCATTTTAGGAAAGAGCTTTGTGGCGACGAGGTGCTGATTAAACCACGTTCCAATATCATCAACGTGAATGCGTAAGGCGTGCCTCGACATTCTGTGTTTTGCGGGATACCAATTAGTCTGTATTAAATGCTTTCCGCTCTTTTCGATTTAAATGGCTTTGTCCTCTTCTATGAAAAGCACTGATGTGTTGCTCGTTTGCAATTCTTTTGGCCCGCCACGCTGCTTGGCAATGCGGAAGCTTCTTGGTTTACGAGGGAGTGGGGATGGACAAAAACAGCAGCGTGGAGGCGCTGTTGGCCGGTCTTTGGTGCCGCCCCTCGGGATCGCCGGCGCGCCGCCGTGTCGTTTGGGTCTGCCCTTCTTTGGCCGGCGGGTGTGTGTGTGCGCCCTCCTCGGGGGATCACCCGCCGTGCCCATGGGCCGAGGGCCCTGGCCGCCGGGGAGGGGGGGCTCCCTCTCGGCGGAGGGGGGGGACGGGGCTGGCGGAAAGAAGGGGAGGAGGGGGGGGGGGGGGGCGGACGATAACGAGGGGCGGCGGCGACGCCGTGCGCGCGGTGGCGCCCGGGAAGGCGGCGGGCCGGCCCGCTGTGTTCTCAGAACGCGTCTTTTTCTTGTTCTTTCTTTCTGCCGTGCAGAGAATGCAGCTGTGGAAATTGCAAAAGTAAAACACAAGGGGAAGGGAAAGGAGCGGTCTCTCACACGGGAAGGAGGTCGATCGCGACCTCCGCGGACACGCCTGCGGACACCAACGCTGGCGCCGCCCGTGCCACGGACAGATTCTGCTGACTTCCAATCGATTGAAGGAGACGGGCGACCGTGCGCCACACCGCGGTGGTGCGGTCGTCATCTGCGTGGCCGTTGCCCTGCTGTTCTGGCGGTGCGCGGCCGAGCCGCACGAGGTCCATGGTTGAGCTGAGAATGTTCGCTTTCACGAGCACGTCCTGCAGCGCAGTCTGCGCGTCCGCCGGGGCAACGGGCACGCCGCGCCGGCGCTGCACACCGACCGCGTAGTCGATGAGCAGGTGCACCACCTCGTCCATGCGAGTCTGCTGATGGCCGACGCTACTGCCCAACACACGCGTTAGATCGTCGTACATGCTTGCAAGCTCGGGCCTTGTCGCTGGAGTTGGCGGGGGTGCGCCGTCACCGCCACCTCGAACCAGAGGGAAGTAGGCTGCGACGACGGCCGCTGCGAGACACAGCTCCTTTCGCGTGGTGCGACGACTGCCGCCCAACTGACGCAGAATCGCGCTCACCGCATGCAGCTGGTTCTCGTTTGCCGCGGCGATTAACGCAATTAAGTGAACGTAACGGCAGGACTCCGGCGCGTGGGTGGCGCACAGCAGCGCGGTGTCCGCGTCTCGGCGCAGGGCCGCCCAGAGCGCCATCGACTCCCACACATTTGCCTGATCACGCGTGAAGCTTCTGCCGCTCTCGTCGGCTTCCACGTGTGGTGGTGAGGGGGACGCTGCCGCACTCCGTATGGCAGGCGAGCTGGAGAAGAGGCCAACCAGCCGCTTCAGCGCACGAAGACAGCCCGCGTAGTTTGCCGCAGACTCCAACGCGGAGGCCACAGTGTGACTGGAGTTCGGCTGAAGGAAAATTTGGAGGACACCCCAGTGCGTGTACGCGTTCACACACGTGACCGGCATCGCATCATAGAAGAGCATCGCGTCGTGCATGTGGCCTGTCGAGGCAAGGCCGGCCATGGCATGGTTGTACACGGCGGCGTGGCGCACATCGCGCGCATGCAGCAACGCACCGGAAGCAACACACAGCCGTCCCGCTTCTTTTGCTTGGCGTATGAGCTGCTCAACAACCAGCTGAACGTCCTCGTCTTTCACGGACCATGCCATTGATTTCTGGCGTGCGTCACGTTGCTGCTCGAGTGCGGAGGCGGCGAGCAAGTCGAGAGGGTTTCCATAAAAGAAAAGCAGCGTCATCCACGGCTGTTGCGCAAACTGCAGAAGCGCTAGAAGACGACCCGCACTCACCACGTCGTCGTCGTCGTCACCTCGTAATACAGGATACATGTGCGCACCTTCTCTGTCTGCAGGCTTCGCCTCTGCTGCTTCGTTTTCCAGTCCGTGCTCCGCCGCGTCCTTTTCTTCCGCCGTGGAAGAGGAAGGCGACAAACAACGCCGGCGCGCGGCTTTGAGTTCCAACACCACACCGACCACCTCGCGCCAGCGACGCGGCGGGCATGCGGACAAGTACGTGTCCATCACGAGACGCTGCGCCCTGCGTAACGCGTGTGCCTGTCGCGCCTCGATCTTCTCTATTGCAGCTGAGGCTGCTGTAGCGCCGGGGGACATGACAAGCTCACGGACTTGGTTGACCCAGGCAAACAGCTGCGCGCCGTCATCGTCGCGAGCGGCATCCGCACCTCCGCCTTGCTCGTCCTCTCGGTTGCTGCGCGGCGGCGGCGGCGGCGCGGCGCGAAGGCGAAGCTGAACAGCCTCCAGCACCCCTCGCAACCAGTCTTCCGAGTAACCTGAAGAGGAAGACGCGGCGGCGGAGGAAGGGGGAGTGGCGACACCAATCACCCGCTCCATCGGCACGGCCTCTGCCAGGGCCCACGCACGGCGCCACCCATCGCGTCGTTGACGGGCCACACGCTGCAGCACAGCGCGGAACATGCGACCGTCCTCGCCACAGAGGGCGAGCGCCTCGCGGACGTGCCCTGCTCCGGCGAGACTTGCACCACAGTCCACCTGTGCCTCCCACTCGGGTGTGCGAACACGCGCGTCCTTTCCTGCTTGCGGCGGAGCGGCAACAGGCGGTGGTCGGGCCAGTTCATCGAGCAGCAGCAGCGGCAACTCGGGACTGACTTCGGCCAACAGCGGGGAGCGCAAGGGGTACCGGTAATGCCGCGCGGTGAGGGGGATCTCCGCGACTTTCGCCTCCACGAGGCATTGCACCTGCTCTAATAAAAGCTGATGGCGCTCGCTTAGGTTCTGTGAAGGGGAGGAGGAGGGAGAGGAGATCCGCTGTGTGCTCGGCGTGCCGCTGCTGCTGCTGCTGGTGATGCTGCTTCTCACCGATGTCGACCCTTCGTACGTGACAATCTCACTCGCCTGTGCAAGCGACTCCAGGATGTGCTCGAGCAGGTCCGCCTTTTCGTTGGTCGTGCCGTCGCGCAGCAACGCCCAACGCGCTTCTCGCAGTACGGCAAGACCGTCCGCGCGCAGCCGCTCCCCGCGGTGCACCGTCAGGTGTGTCTGTGCAACGTTGTCGTAGAGACGCCGGCGCGACGCGAGCGTCGAGGGTGGACCTTTGCGGGAGACATACGCACGCAACGCCTGCAACCACGTGGCGGACATGGGAAGAACGCTGTTTTCTTTTTTCTGTTCTTCTTCCAATCGCTCGTCGCCACGACGGTGCCACGAACGGGCCAATCTCTTCGTGGAATGCAGAACAAAAAAAAGAAGGTTGCGGGGGAGGGAAGAGATGCGCCAAAGCGACAGCCCTGTTTTTTAAATTATTCTTCCTCTTTCTTTTGCTTTCCGTTTGTGGCACGAACAACGCAGTTAAACATCGCACAACAACATTAGAGATAGCGAGGGAGAGGGAGAGGTGGACGAAGTGTGCGGCTGATACACCCATTCTGTGTGGTTGAGGGCACAGTGCGGATCAGCACGAGGCAGTTTCAGTATTATTACTAGTATTATTACAACTTCCCTTCGCATTGACTGTTGCCTCTCGCTGGTCCTCAATCGTTCCATTACGTGTCTTACCGCTGGAAACCTTCTCTTCGCTGTCCCTTGCTGTGTGACTCGATGCGTCTCGGGTTGCCAGCCCGCTTTCAGAAGGAAAAAAGAGGAAATATTATTCCTTTCCGCCTATTTCAAACCACGACGACCACCACCATACGACACCTTCATGTTTTCATGTTTGTGGGGAAGCGTTGACAAACGAATAAGCGCCGCCAAAAGCGCTCGGTGCGTGCGATAGCAAAAACAAACAAAAAATATTGAGGCGAATATGAGCAGAAAAGCCAATGAAAGTAATATACTACTACTACTACTACTCCTTTTAGTAATACATCAATGAAAACCATCTACACTAAATCATCCGCTGACACGAAGATAAGAGGAAAACAAAAAGAGCGGCGTTTCCTTTTTTAAGGTCTGCTTTTACAGCTCACACCGCACGCATCACCTTCGTCTTGAGGCGGTGCACGCGCACCTCGGCGAGCTCGGCCGTCGTGTACCGCGGAGCCATCTCGCCCTCCACCATCGCCTGCCCGCTCGCCGCCGCCTGCCGCAACAACGCGTCGACCTCAGCTGCCGTGGCCCAGCGAGTCTCTTCGTGCCGGAAGCAGTCCCGCGTGCGGCGCAGTTCGTACTGTCCGGCATGCGGCCACGACGCCGCAGACGGCGGCAGTCGCACCCACCACCCATCGCCCACGTGGCGGCCGACGCGCAGATCCGCGTAGAGGTCGAACTCGTACGGCGTGCCATCCGCGCGGAAGCCGTGCGCGATGAGCGTCGAGGCGGCGCTCGCAGGTGCCGCCTGTTTGTGGTGCTCAACACGCTCTGCTGTTTGCGTCCACGCCGGCACCTCGTCGTCACCGTTGTCGTTGTTTTCATCATCGGCGCCGCTATCAAAGATTAACTCCACCACTGCGGCGCCGCGTTTGTTGTAGCGCGTGCAGAAGTCGTTGCCCCGGCCACAGTACGACGTATCCGCATCCACAATCGTCAGTCCGCCAGGCTGGCGCACGACGGCTGGGGTGTCGCCCACCGGCTGATGGCCTGCGCAGACGGTGTGAATGCCAGACTCGACCAAATACGCCGCAACGGGGAGGCAGATGTGATGAGGGCCGTCGCGCTGCATGACGGTGCCTACCGCGATGGAGTGCGGCGCCACGACACGCGGGTAGACGTACGTGCGCAGCGCTTCGCCGCACAGACCCGTGCCGTGAATCCACTCCCAAAAGGCGGCGTCCTTAAAGCTCGACAGAGCCGCCAGCCACTCCAGCGCTGACCTCCGCTTTGCTGTTGGTATTGGCGACGTGAGACACAACAAAGATGAAGACGAAGAGGATGATGATGATGATGATGACGACAAAGATGAAGAGCGCTTCGTTGCGTCTTCCTCCTCTTTTCCTTCCTTTGCTGCCACGGCAGCCGCGACGGGTTGGGGCTGCACCTCCGGCAGCCACCACTCTCCCGCCCGCAGCTGCGTCGCGTACGTCGTCGCCGCCAGGCTCGGGACGAAGCCGGCGTTTTGTCCGTTCACGCCGCCGTGCACGAAGAGGATGCCGTCCAGCACCACCGTTAAGACGCCTAGCCGGATATATTCGTAGTAGACTCCGCCGGGTTGCGCCGCCGTGAAGAACGACTCCGCCACCTCGCTGTCGGTCACCTCGACCGGTGTGTCACGCGGCCCTGACGCACCGGTCGCATCGCGGAGGCGTCGCAGTTCCTCGAGCTCGCGGCGGCGGTGGGCGTACGCGTTGGAGCAGCCCAACTTGTGCTTGAGCGTCCACTGAAGAAAGGAGACGGGGTCGGCCACAAGCTTTTCGCCGGCGCTTGCGTCCGATGGGCCCGTTGCAGCGCCACCAGCGCGCCTGCGCAGCCGCAAATAATCGCGGTAGCGCAGCTGCTCCGTCATCCCTGCGGCGGTCTTCGCCGTCTTCGACAGCGACGGAAGCGCGAAGCAGCTCCTCTCCGCTGCGTTCGCCTCCATGCCCGCGACACCGAGTGCCATACGTGGGTACATCACCATCTTGTTCAGGTCTCGGTTCCCCAACAGCAGGTGCACGCGGGCCGGGTAGCGGCGCTTGAAGTCCAACAAGACGTGGCCGAGCGTTAGGTCAGCGCCGTGATCGAAGGCGTCGCCGCCGAACACGAAGTGGGAGTTTCTGTCCTGGAAGGTAAGTCGGTAGCGGGAGACGTCGATGAGGTGGCTGTACGTCGGGTCGCAACGATCGTCCGGTGCGTCTGCGGCGCACGCGGGCGTGGGACTCGGAGTCGCCACACCGCCTTCTGGCGAGGGCTGGGACGAGGAGGATGGAGACGCCGGTGCGGACGGGGCCAACGTGCTCGCGTGCCGGGGTACGTGCGGACTCTGCAGCGGTGCCCATCGTGCGGCGACGCTGCCGCTTGAATCGGCCCTCTGCGTACCGCAAGAAGAGTTACCGTTCAGCGGAGTATCTGCGCGAGTGGGCGAACTCACTTCCTCCCACTTGACCACGCGTGAGATGCAGACGTAACGCTGGAAGTAGGAGAAGTCACCTTCGACGTCGGTGACGTAGCCAATGCGGCGCCGCAGTGCACCGCTGAGGCGAAACATCATAAAAGGAAAAATAATAAAGAAATATGAGAAGCAACGCTGCCGTCTTTGCTCCTTTACGCGAGCGCGGCAGCAACAACAGAAAATTAAATGTTTTGGCTTTGAGAATATGAAACACTCCTGTGAAGTGCAACGTTGGACAGACGGAGAATAGATAATAATAAAATGGGAAGTGAGTGGAGTGGAGAGGGGGGGGGGGGAAGGACGAGGCCGGACGGTCAACGAGAACAGGCGAGGAAAAGGAAATGCGGAATCAAAGGGGCGTGTACGTGTGCACGACAAGAATAAGCTTTTAATAGAGTGAACGAAGCCAAGAGGGAGAGAGGGAGTGAGGGGGAGGAGGTGGTGATGAGTGAATGATGATGGTTATAGAAAGCAGCATTGATATAGAGATATACTCCTTTTCAGAGCCGAGTCCCCAATAATGCGTACGCTCTCTTTGATGTACTCACTCTGCCCACAGATGCTTCGTTCCGTGGATTCGGCATGCCCCGTCGCCTTTGTCATTCTGTTGCTTGTCGTGATCCAGTTTTTCTTCTTCGTTGTTTTCTTCGGTGTTTTAAAGCAACAACAGGAGGAAAGAGGAAGGCGAGTCGACAGTACCAGGGAAGCTGCCGCATGAACGCCCAGCAGCGCACTAGCTCGCCGCTGTCCCGGCGTGCAGTTCTTTTCCCTCTCCCTTTCCCCTTTCATCATCGCATGAGAGACACCACGCAGCAGGAGATCTACACAGTGATGCCGTACACCGTCACGATGCAGTACATGGCGCTGTTCTCACTCTTGTGCACGTAGCACGCGTCGCTCGTCGGGTTCCACGAGCAGGAGGATATGGCGTGCACGCCCGCGCCGTTCTTCTGCAGGATGGACACCAGGGCGATGTACTTGCGAGGCAGCTTCGCCTCCTGCGTCAACCGCTGCACCACCTGGTCCGAGATGGACGAGACGAGGGCGGCGATTTTGGTGTGCTGGTAACGCGCCTCGCGGCTAAAGAGGCGGCTGACGACGTCCTCGCAGATGACGGCGGCGTCGTCGGACAATGTGAGTCGGTCGTCCGCTGCCATTTTTGTTTTTTGTTTTCTACTGTACAAGTTTTTTCTTTGGTATTTGCGTATTGGCGCTGTTCAGAATTCGTGTATTCGAATATGCTGAGTTCGTTTCAAAAGAGAGAACAGAGAACAGGCGTTTCTAATGGATGCGCACACGAGCCCTGTGCGAGAGAAGTAGGAAGGTACATGAGATGGTCTTACATGCAGGGAAGAGACTGCTACCCACAAGCCAACAAGAATACCAACAACTGGGGCTCCGCAGAGCTTCCCGTGCGTGTTCTCTTGCTCGTAGCTGTCTCAACTATCGGCCGATACAGGTTTCATTTGCCCGTCAGCAACGGGCCCCTCCTCCATACACACACATACGATCATGCCCATAGAGATGTGCACTCCTCTTCTTTTTTTGACTGTACAGTCCTTTTCTGCATCGAAACGCGGAAGCCGTGCGAAGTAAGCAGCAGCAGCGACAACAACACCAACCGCCGTCACAACATGCGGGTCTAAGGCAAATATATATCTATGTGTAAAAAGGAAAAATAGCATCGTGTGTCTGTGTGGAGCCGCCCCCGCCCCTCCCCCTACAGCACTCTGGCTTTGACGTCAACACACCGATACCACCACCACCACGAACGAAAACGATAACGGACCTTTAAAGAAAAAGGTGTAAGAAAAAACAAGATAGCAGAGGCAATGCATACACTGACAGAGAGCTGGCTTTTGAGCTCCGCTATCACAGCATCTTCGCCGCGACAAGGCGATCAATGCAACCCTGCACGTAGCTCTCCCGCCGGGGATCGAGGTGCATGGCGGTTTGGTAGTTCTGCAGCGCCTCCTGCGGCCGCTTCAGACACACCATACACTCTGCGAGGGCCATGTGAATCGCCGCCTCGCCGGGACACTGGACCAGCAACGCCTTCAGCTCCGCCAGCGCCTCTTTCGGTCGGTCCAGCCGCAGCAGCACGTCGGTGCGCTGTCGGCGGGCGGTGAGGTTGTTCGGGTGGCGCTGCAGAGACTCCGAATAGAGCCGCAGCGCGCACTCCAGGTTCGCCGCGACGTTGTTTTGGCGGTGGTAGGTCAGCGCAAATCGGTTCATGATGGCAGGCGTCGGGTTGATCTTCACGGCTTCCTTGTAGTACCCGCGGGCCTGGATCACCTGCTCCTCTCGAATAAACCGCTCCCCCAGTCCAGCGTACGCGATGTACAGCGTGTTGTCCACCGCCAGCGCGGTCTTAAAGGCCTTCTCCGCCTCCGCCTTGTTGTCCTGCCCGAGCAACTCGTAGCCGTACAAAGCGTGGGCGTAGGCCAGATTCGGCGCGAGCTGCACTGCGCGCTTCAGCATGACCAGCGCGTCTCGCGGGTCCTTCACCAGGCTATACGCATTCGCCACCACGCACAGCGTCGTCGGGTGGAAAGGCTCCGCATCCGTCAGGCACTGCGCCAGGCTCCCCAGCGCGCTCTCGCTCTTCAGGTGCCACAGGGCGGTGCTGTAGTAGATCAGCGCGGGGTCCGTCAGCTCCCACGGAGCGACGCGCAGGAGGCGGTCGAAGGTGTCCGCGCTCGCCTGGACGTCGCCATTGTGGAACTGCGCGAGGGCGAGCTGACGCAGCAGCAAGGGCGAGACGGCGAGGGAGACACCCGCGACGGAGTGGACACGACCGCACTCCACCGGTGGCGGGCCCTCGTGCGACTGCGTTGGAGGCGCAGTGCGGGGGAGACCGGCGGGGCGCGCGGTGTCGCTCGCACTGCTGCTCGTACCGGAAATGGACGATGCGGTCGCCGGTGACTGCGCCTGCAGCTGCTGTTGAAGCAGCAGCTTTTGCAGGGCGTCGACGGCCTCGGGACAGCGGTAGGTCGTGGTCAGGAAGATCGCACGGAGAAAGGGCTGGAGGTGCTGCTGGACAACGCGGCGCTGCGTGGGGGTGAGCGGGGGTGCATCCAGTGTGAAGGCGGCCGGCGCCGGCGTCGTGGCACCGCAATGGCGGTGCCGTCGCGCTGTTGTTGGACTTCCGCTACTTGTGGGGCTGCCCGGCGATGCTGGCGGTCGAGCTGCACCGCCTCTACCTCTGTGGCCGGCGGTGTGGAGGGACCCGGTGCGCGCCACGGCCGCGCGCTTCTTCTCCGTCTCCTCCGCCTCGTCCACGTCCTCCGCGTCGTCACCCCCTCGCCGCTCCTCGGCGTGCGCAGCATCGCGACCGCGTCGCTGCGGTGGTCGTTGAGAATCTGCGTTTGCGTCTTCGTTCGCGTCGTCCTCCTCCTCCCCGCCCTCACCATTCGCTCGCCCGCCATCCGCCATCGCGTCGTCGCCGTCGTTTTCCTCGGCCAGCGGCTCCTTCACCGCCAGCAGCTCCTGCGCAGTCGCGACGGATGGCCAGGCGAGGCGCACGTACTCCCGAAACGCATCGATCCGCGTCGGGTGTCCGCTGAAGGCGCGACGTAGATAGTCCAACGCGAAGGGCGGCCGCTGACGGTGCTTCTCACACAGGCCCAGCCAGTACAGCACCTGCGAGACGCGTGCCTCGGAGGCAAACGCGTAGGAGTGCAGCTGCCGCTCCACACTCGTGCCGCTGCTCGACGGAGGTGACGACGACGACTGCTGCTGTTGCTGCTGTTTGCGCAGCGCGGCGGCCGCCGCATCCAACTGGTACTTCACGTACAACAGCTGCGACAGCACCTTCACACCGTCCTCGTAATGCTGCGTGCGGTAACAACACACGCCGAGCAGGTACTGGCAATCCCACTGCGCCTTTAAATCGACCGTTTCGTAGCTCAGGTCGACCACCTCGCCATGGGCAAGCGCGTTGAGGAGCGCGGTGGTGCTGGGGCCGTGGGCCGGCGCCGTGCTGTTCCACGTCCGGCGCGCATCCAACGGCAGGGCTGCCCCGTCCACGGCGGTAAAGCCGACGCCACCACCACCCCAACCACCGCCAACCCCACCGGTGCCAGGACGGCCATGCACAGCAGCCGTCCGCGGCCGCGTCACGTGCACCTCAAAAAACGGATAGTGATGATGGAGGAGGCGGTAGGCCGTGCCGACACCCCCGCTCAGCAGGTAGCAGTGCGCCAGCAGGTGTAGATGACCGTAGGAGGCGTCGAGGTTCATGAGTCGCTGGGCGAGCTCGATGGCGTCGTGGTAAAGGTAGCCGGCGAGGCTCTCGTGCACGGCAGCGGTGAGACTGCGGAGAAGCTCTGCGGAGGCGGTGGGAAACGGTGCGGCCGACGTGGGCTCCGTTGGCGCTTGTGATGGGGGTCGGGTGGTCGCGGCAGCAGGGTCGACGTGCGCCGTTGACGTCGGCGCCGTGGTGACGCGTGCCGTAGCATTCCTGTTGCTGTTGCTGGGCGCGCTGCTCCCCCCCGTCCCCGCGACGTTCGGCGCCGGTCCGCTGTGCCCGCCGCTGAAGGTGAAGAGCGGGTTCATGGTGCGCAGGTTCGTCGGTGCGCGCTGCTGCGGGGAGGGGCGAGGACGAGCGGGGTTTGAGGTGCCAACCCCACCAGCCGCACCACCGGTGCGGAATGGGCCACCAGAAGCTCGTCCGTGCGGCTGCGAGAACGTGGGAGACGACGACATCATCGACGGCGGCGGCGGTGGAGGAGTCGCGGACATCGTAACGCAGCGAGAGAAGAGAAGAAACAATAGTAATAATAAAAACACAGGAGAGTACAGCTCGCCGGTAGAGCTTCTTCTTTCTTTGGTGCCGTATCGAAAGGTATTAAAAGTGCTCCTTTTGAGATCCCAAGTGGAGGGGAGCGAAAAAGGAGCAAAAAACAAAAAAGAATCAACGTTGATTCTCACGACACGCCAAATCCGGTGGGTTGCGCAGGAAGGCATCCGATGAATAGGGAGGGAGGGGGAAGGCAGTGGGAGAGCGGCGTGAGAGGGTGGAGCGGCCTCGCCGGGTTCGATCGAGCACCGAGAGAGGGAGAGAGCGAGAGGGAGCCACAACAACACAAAACGAAACCACAAAAACTGATCTAAAACGAAATCAGTCGGGATATCCGCGCCGAGTCCGCACGCGCGTCGAGGCAGCGATCCACCGCGCAGTAGGTGGTGGCTGTCCACTGCCAAAAAAGGGCGTTCGCCGTGGAAGCAGCGGTGCTTCTCTGGCCGTCTTTCATCGCGCAGCAGTACGCACGGCTTCTTTGCCAGGAAATCATAACAGCACCAAAGAAAGAAATATCACTGCCGAGCCGATCACACAGAGCCTCGATGCTGCGATCGATCTATAGCGACACGTAGCGCACCCAAGAAGGGAAAGAAAGCAAGAAAAACGTATACGCGCACGAGAAACAAAGAGGTAAAAGACGGAGCTGAAAAAGGAGAGGGAGGAGAGAGTCAGTCAACGGAGACATAAACAAAGGACTTCAAAAAAACAAACAAACAAGAAAAACCGGCTCCACTGCGAGAGAGCACCGGAGAATACAATGGACAGAAATGGGCAAAAGCAAATAAAAAGAGCGAAGTCCTGGTCAAGTAGCTGAGAACGCGAAGGAGGAGGCAACAGGGCAGGGATGCTTTGCGTTGTTGGAGAGCTGCGCTTCCTCCGTGTTTTCGATTCTCTCTCTCTCCCCCCACTCCCCCTTCTCCGCCTCTAGCGCTTACACAGGCGAAGCCACCGTTGCTCCTCCTGCCGTGGCCGCGGCAGCATTTGCCGCTGCTGTGTCGTTACCGTCTCCACCCTCGTTGCCATCCTTGTCGTGCTGACGTGGCTGCTGCGCCACCTTGTGCTCAATGCGTGCCACCTCCGAGTAGCCCTGCGTGTTGCGCACGTGGTACAACACGTTCGCGTTGCTGAACATGCCGTCCTTCAATGACACGAGCAGGAACTGGGAATGAGGGAAGTAGAGCTGCAGCATGCGACCAATGTTCTGCGTGTGGCTCGGGTCGAGCGCGGCGTCCACCTCGTCTAAGATGTACAGCGGGGCGGGGCGTACTCGCAGGATGGCGAGGATGAGGCACAGCGCAAGAAGCGAGCGCTGGCCTCCGCTCAGCTCCGACAGCGACTCCTTCGCCTTCCCGTTGAAGGAGACACGAACGCCCAGACCGGTCAGGTGACCCGCCGCATCGCGCTCCTCCTGCAGCTGTGCGGCGGACCCGGGCAAGCACGTCGCAAAAAGCTTCCCGAAGATGGCGCTGACTACGCTGACCATGCGATCCAGCGCCCCCCACTTCTTGGATTCGATCTCGTGAATGCAGCGCTGAATCGCCTCCTTATCCTCGCTGAGGGCCGTGCGCTGCTTCGCCAGCTCCTCGTACTCTCGGCGACGCTCCTCGTACAAGATGGCGGACTTCTGCGAAAGCTTCGACGAGACGACCGCGGCACGCGCCTCAATCTCGCGTAGGTCCTGCAAGATGGCCGCGGTGCGCGCGGTGTCGTCGAAGTCGTAGGGTCCACCAGGTTTATTGAGCTGATCTTGCTCCTCAAGCAGCCACGCGTGTCGGTGCTCGGCATCGTGCACGCGCTTCCGCAGGTCCTCTAGCGTCTTCGTCTGCTCTCGCAGCTCCACCTCGCTGTTCTTCACGACATTGTCCAAGGTAGCCTTCCGCTCCGCCAATCGCGTGAGCTCCTCCTGCGCTTCTTCGATCTCCCTTTCAATCCGCTGACGTTGGTCTTCGGTGTGCTTGTAGCGCGCCTGCACATCGGCCAGCTGCTGCTTCACCTCGTCCATCTGCGCCGCGAGCTTTAGCTTTTGACTCTGCTGCTGGGCTAACTCCTCCTGCGCCTCTATTGTTTTGCGCGACAGGTCCGCCGCCTGCTGCTCGGTGTCCGCCTCCAAACGCTCGAACTCCGCTGCATCGCGCTCCTCCTCGGCCGTCAGCCGCAGCACCGATGCCTCCGCCGCGGCGAGTTGCTCCTCCATGTCACGTCGGGCCGCGCTGAGGTCGGTGGTCTGCGCCTGCGTGGCGAGCTTTTTCTGTCGTTCCAGCAGCACCGCCACGCTCGCCTGCGCCTCGGTGCACATCGCGGTCGCCGCGTCAAGCTGCTCGCTAGCTTCGTTCAACGCTCCCTGCACGGTGGAGGCCGCCACCGTGTAGCGCTGCTTCGCCAGCTCCGCTGCCTCCTCCGCGGACTTGTACGTGAGGATGTCTTGCTGATGCTGTCGCAGAATGTCACGCAGATCCGCGTACTCGGCCTCCAACGTGCGGGTTCGCTGCTGCAGCGCCTTCAGCGGCTCCCTTAGCGCGGCGTAGGTGCGGAGCTCCGCGAAGGTGTCGCGGAGTTGACGTGTCGAGCCGCCGGTCATCAGCCCGTTCGGCTCCGCCGTCTCGCCGTCGAGCGTGACGGCCTTCACTTTGATTGCCGGCGTGTAGGCGAGTTCCTGGGCGAGGCGGAGGCTCGAGCAGACGAGAAAGCCGCCAAAGACGAAGTCTGCCAACTCGCTCAACGATGGGGAGGAGACGTGCACGAGGTCCCGCGCGCGTTGCACCCACTCCCCCTGCTGCGCCGCGAGCAGCTCAGCCGCCTGCAGCTTCGCCGCATCTATGAAGAAGCGCGGCCTCTGCAGTTTGTTCAGCGCGAGGAAGGAGGTGCGCTGCCGCAGCCCGCCGTGTATGATCGCCTCCGCCACCCGGTCGTCCTCCACGACGACACGTAGAAGCTGGTTCTGCGCTCCGACCATGAGGCCTAAAGAGTGTTTCGCGTCCCGTGGTACGATCAGTTCGCCGACGCGGCCCAGCACCCTCTCCTCCGTGCCGGGCGGACACGCATATCTGTTGTAGTCGAGGTCAAAGCTGCGCGTGTTGTTCGTCATCTGCCGCTGGAAGTTGTCGTACTCCGCCTGATACTCCCGCTTCCGCTCTGCCATCTCGTTTTCCAATGCTTCTTTCCGCTGCTGCTTCGGTGCCAGCGGGGCGTACCTCGACCGGGCCGCCTCCAACGCGGTGTTTGCCTTGTCGAGTTCACGCTGCAGGTGCTCGACGCGACTGCGCTGCTCGACCTGCTGCGCCTCAGCCCGCCTTTGCTGCTTTGTCAGCTCGCCCACGCGCTCGGTCATACGGCGCACCTGCGACTGCTGTTCAATGAGCTGTAGGTCCACCTGCTGTCGCTCCTCGGCGAGTGAGACGCCGGCGGACCCGGCCTGGACGCCGGATTGCAGCAGCTTCAGACTCCGTTTCAAGTTGACGCACGTGGCTTTGCTTTCCTTCATCTGTTCGAGCAGCTCCTCGTGACGCTGACGGCGCGCGGCGAAGGCGGCCTGGCCGCTGCTCTGCTTCTCCTGCTCCTTGCGCAGGTTCTTCAGCTGCGCCTCCAGCTGCTTGAGCGAGGCGACGCAGTTCTCGAACTGCGCCTCGTAGCGGCCGTGCACCTTCTTTAACTCGTCCTCCTCCTCGCGAAGGGACACGGCGGCCTCGCTCGGGGCACCGAGGGAGTCTTGCAGCTGCATCTGCCGACGTGTGAGGTTCTCCTCTTGTCGGGGCAAGGCTTGCAGCTGCGTCTTGGCGCCCTGCACGTCCTGCCGGCGCGTCGCCGTCGTCGTCTCGACCTCCGCGAGCTGCGTGCGGTGCGTGTGGTACTCCAGCGCGATGCGGAAGCGCTGCTTCTCCTCCATCTTCTCGCGCTTTTCCAGGAAGCGGTGGTACTCCTCCTGGTCCGCCTTCATCGTCTCCAAGAGCGGCCGAATTTGTACTTCGATGTTCGTGTCGATCTCCTCCATTTTACGCTCCTTATTTCGAATGAGGGTCTCCGCGGTGCGACGGCGGTGGTCAAACGCCTTCGTGCCGACGGCCTCCTCGATTAAGGACAGGATATCCTGCGAACGCATGCCGATCAGCTTATGGACGGTGCCTTGCAGAATCATGAAATGCGGGTTGTCGACGTTGAGGCTGATGCTCTCGAAGAAGCGCTTCACCTTGCTTTGCAGGGAGACGGTGTTGTTGAAGAAGAACTGTTGGCGACCACCGAGTTTGATCTGGCGGCCGATCGTGATGGTCGGGTACTCGTCACAGCTGTAGCCCGGCGGGGCCGTCGCGGCGTCGTCGTTCACGAACTCGATCGTGACCCGCGCCGCGTGCACGCCGGTCGTGCCGGCGCGGAAGATGAGCTCCCGCGGGTCCTCGGCCCGCACCCGCTTCAGGTTTGTAATGCCCATGACGAAGCAGATCGCGTCGAAGATGTTTGACTTGCCGCTGCCGTTGAGCCCGGTGATAGCGTTGAAGTGCGGGCTCAGGTCCGCGAGCTCCTTGCGGTGGGCATACGACTTAAAGCCGTCGATGACGATCGACTTGACGCGCATCGCAAACAACTCAACAATGGGTGGTGTATATATCTACGTCAGATTGATCTCAATCAACGCGTTGTCTTTTCTATTTCTGTATGTAATCCTGGCAAGTGGTACGTGCAGCCTTCCCGTAATTGTTTTATTCTTAATCCGTCATGGAGCGCAGATGGCGGTTAGCGGTGGAGGAGAGAATTTCTACTCTCTCGTACAGGAGGATCTAAAGCGATGCGTTATCGCGTTCTTCGGTGCGTGTGTGCGTGTAGAAAGAAGTAAAAGTAACCTAATAAAAAAAAGTCTGGTTTATGGAATGTGACGTTTTCGTGTTGACCGCTGCGGCACCATCAAGAGGCGTTCACATGCGAAAGACAATGCGAGAGAGAGAGTGTGTGTGTGTGTGTGCCGTGGCGGGAGGGAACGGCAGCAGAAGAAGAGGCGAAGGGAGGGAAAGAAAAGAGGGCGAAAACAATTCGACGCACCTTCTTCATTTCTTTTTTGTTTTTCTAAATTGTTGTTGGTTTGTTTGTTTCTGCGATAAAGTTTGCGCGACTCGAAGCGGCGTGGAGCGCACACGAATGGGTAAGCTGAATAGCGGCAGCAGCAGCGGCAGCAGCAAACCGAAACAAGCAGCTTGCGCTCCCTCCTATTTAAAAAAGGGGATTAGGAAAGTCAGCGATGATGACGTGCAGGTACGGAGCCCGCCACACGTCATCGAGGCAGGACAGCGACAAAGGGGCGGGAACCAAAACATCGACGATTGAGGCCATTCGCGCAACGGCGCAGATGAGCGGGCATTTTACCTCTTTCCCTTCCTACTCCAACCCCTGCCTGATTTGTGAGAGAGAAACTTGTTGTTTGGCTTTCCTCTTTTTGCGCTATGATTCTACGTGGTATTAGTAAGTGGACTCGCTGCACCGGGGAAAGAGACGATGAATGAAATGCATAAGAATGAAAGAAGAAAAGAACAAAAGAAAAGAAATCAAATCAAAACAACACACCTCTACGTGTTTTGCATGTATATGTATATATATATATATATTTATTACTTGCACGGTGGCACCTGTTCCATCCCGCTCACACACGCACAGATGCAACGTTCAACAAGAAAGAAAGAAAGAAAGCAGCACCGGCCTTTTTCACAACGTGCGCCGGCGCGTGCACGTCAATCACCAAACCAATCAAGACACACAAAATGACCTTAAGAGAGGAGCAAACGAACGAGGAAGAGGAAGACGCAAAAGCGAATAAAACCAAGATGATGCTCTGACACACACACACACACACACACACACACGGCCAAACGAGAGAAAAATGCAGCAAGTCCGCATCCATCGTTGTATTTCAAAAGAACGCTGATTCTGCCATTTTCGTTGTAGAATGATAATACTAATAATGAAAATAATAAAAGCATCTATTTCGAAGCAATTCCACCAACAAATGGGTGATTTAGAATGGCCACCGACGGCCCTTTCACTGACGGCGCAGGGAGAAGAACAAGAAAAGAGGCGTGCGCTTCACCACCCACAACACCACCGGCGTCTCCACTCTGCGTAGCGTCACTTTGTTGCACAGTGACCAAGGACACCCAACAACAGAAAGAATTATACATAAATACCAACACAACCCACAACCCGCGAACCGCGCGCGCGCCATCGATTACTCGTTCCTTTTTCTTTCGTTCTTTCCTTCCTTTACCTTTGCGGGGCGTCCGTGATGCTGTCGCGACGCGACGAGCCGCACTCGGTGACCTTGGCAAAGAACGGGTGCTGCAAGAGCGCCGTCGCCGTCAGCCGCAGCTTCGGATTCCGCTCAAAGCACTTCTCCAGCAAGTCCATCAGCTCTGCATCCACGTCGGACGGAATCTCCGTCGGCAGGCCGGTCGAGTTCGCGATCTTGTACACGGCGGCCCACATCGAGTTACACTCCGGCCACGGCGGCTTGCCCGTCAGCATCTCCACAATGGTGCATCCCAAGGACCAAATATCGCTCTTCATGCCGTAGCCGCCCGCCTCGCACTTGATCACCTCCGGCGCCATCCAGTACGGCGTGCCTACCATCGTGGAGCAGCCGTGCGTAGCGCTGCACACGTCATCGATCGACTTACTGCAGCCGAAGTCGGCCAGCTTCACGATGCCGTCGACGGACACGAGCACGTTGTCGCCCTTGATGTCGCGGTGCACGATGCCGCAGTCATGCAGGTACTTCACCCCGGTGGCCATCTGATACGCCCATTGCCGCATCGTCTCGAGTGGGATGGACTTGAACTTGTTGACGAAGCTTGTCAGCGTGCCGCCGCTCACGTACTCCATGAAGATGTTCAGCGTGTTCTTCGTCCTGTCCTCGAGGCTGCCGTAGTACTGGACGCAGTTTGGGTGATGCAGCCGCTTCATTAGCGCGATCTCGTTCCGCAGCTTCTCCATCTCCTCCTCGCTCTCGACGTTGCCGAGTTCGATGACTTTGCAGCATACGGTGCGTCCGTTGCGCAACAAGGCCGTGTACACCGCGCCGAAGCTGCCCTTGCCGATGGTCTTGAGCGGCGTCCACCCCTCCAACTCGCTGTCTTCCAGCAGTACCTGCGGCGCGTTCAAGGCGAGGGTGAGCGGGGACATCAACGAGTCGGACCCGGCCGTCGCGCCGTGGATACTTCCGCTGCTCGCCATGTTTGTGTAGGTGCTGTTATTCTTGTTGCGGGAGGTGTTGTGCGCCGTTGGACTCGCCCCATCCGTCACGTTCGCGGGAACTATGCTGTTGCGGTGCGAAAAGTCCATCGACGCCTGCGCGGCCGGTTCGGTGATGCGGCGGAGCTGCTCCGAATCGAGCGGCTTCAGCACCGCCGCCGCGGCCTCGTCCGTCAGACCCGGTATGACGGCGTGCTTCGCCGGGATTGGGTTGCCGTTGGCGTCGACCGCCGCCCCGCTTTCTCCACCCGCCCCGCCGCGGCCTTCGTCGTCGTCGACGGCGTCAGCAGCATCGTCGTCGTCGACCCCCGAGAGCTGAATCGCCTTGTGCCGGGTGGAGTTGTCATCGACGTGCTCGCCGTTGCAGAACATCCCCGCAATCCAGTCCCCGTTCGCCAGCCACTCGCAGCCGTCGCCGTGCTTCACGCCGTCCTTGAACATGCCGATGTAGCGGGAGCCGTCGGACCACATGTAGGTGCCGCGGCCGTTCGGCTTGCCGTTCGCGAACTCGCCCTCGTAGACGTCGCCATCGTCGTTCGTCTGTACGCCGCGGCCTTCCTTCTCGTTTCGGTTGAACTCGCCCTGGTACACGACGTTCGCGGCCACCTCAATCAACTTGCCGGGGCCGTGCCGCATCCCCGCGAGCCACTCCCCCTCGTAGATGTTTCCGCCGGCGTAAACCATCCTGCCGTAGCCCTGACGCATGTCGGCCACCCACTCCCCGGTGTACAGCCCCGTTGTGTCCTTCATCTCGCCGTAGCCCTCCATGCGCCCCTTCGCGTATTCGCCCTTGTAGTAGTCGCCGTCGGCCCACGTGTAGGCGCCCTTGCCGTGCATCATGCCGTCTAACCACTCCCCTTCGTACGTGTCGCCCGTATGCCACGTCGCCTTGCCGTAGCCGGCCATCTCTCCGTTCTCATCCACCGTGCCGACGTAGTAACCCTCATCGAAGTCGAGCTGCTCCACCCCGGGCAGCAGACGCACCCCGCAGTAGTCCAGCGGTTCGTTGGCGCTATTCCCCATCCCGCTGTCGGCGCCGCCGAAGTCGTCCACGTCATCATCCACGTCGCCCGCATCGTTGCGAGCCGCACTCGCGCGCGGGTGCGAGTTGCCGTTGCGGAGGAGGTGATCATCGTCGGCATCGACGCCGTTGGGGTCGATCATGTGGGATGGGCCGGACAGTGGTTGTGCTGGCGCAGCGGGTGCTGATGCGACGCTGCTGATGCTGATGGCTCGAATGACAGCCCCGGCATCGTTGCGGGAGTTGCTGTTGGGGGAAACCACCGCCGCCGCCGCCGCTGCTGCTGCGCCAGTTGGGCTGCTGAGGTGCTTCTTGTCGTTGGGGGACAGAGACCGCAGGGAGTTCTCCTGCATTTGCTGCATTTGCTGTTGCTGCTGCTGCTGTTGTTTGAGGGCATCGGTGAAGGCACTTGCGGGGTTGTCGGCCGCCGCAGAGGTGGTAATTTGAATGCCAGGGGGTGCGACGGCGGAGGCGCCACCACCGCCTTTATAATACGAACGTGTCGACATGCGTGTGCGTGTGTGTGCGTGTGGACACGACAGCGGCTGAAATCCAACACGAGACGCAACCTTGGATATTCTTTTCCTTTGCTGCTGGCGTTGCTGCGTGGTCTGCGTGGCGCACAGCGGCCAACGCTTGGCGCAGCGAGGCAAGTGTGAGTAAAACGAAGAACCAAAGAGGAACAAAGCAAATCCCACCGCCACCACCACTCAGCCAAAGAGCGCGTGAGAGAGGAAGAGAGAGAGACGGACTGAAGCCGACGCGACGGCTGGAAAGAAAAATAAAATATAGATAACAATCAGCAGAAAAGGTAGACCAAAAGACGACAAAGAACGAACGGGGGAACGGGGCAAGAAGACGAGGAAGAGGAAGAGACTCCACAGACGCGTTTCGTTGGAGAGGGGAGGAGGGGAGACGGCACAGTAATAGCAATAGTAGCACTAGGAGTAAATGATAATGTCAAGGAACAACAAGAAGGATACAGACAAGACACACAAGACACACAAACTCGCACAGACGGGCTGTGTGAGTGAGAGACGAGAGAAAGAAATATAAAAGAAGAGGAAGAAGACTCGGAGAAGGTGGCGTGTCGCTGTTTGAAAGTGCTTTCTGCAAGAGGAAACGTTAGAGGCGTCTTTAAATAAGAAAGAAGGAAAGAGATTCAAAAACGGAAAACAAAACTGACGGGAAAAGAATATCGACTGTTTCGTTAGAAGCGAAGTTCTTTATGGAAGGTAAACACACGCAACAAATAAGAAGAGCAAAAAACAAAAACAAACAATAGCAGCGCGATGGCGCTAGAGGAGAAAGAAAAATATGAAATAAAACGGAGGACAATGAACGCGTCAACGACCGCGCGACAGCGGCACCCGCAACGAAACGACGAAGCCGGCACGAACGGGGCTCTCCGGTTCACCCTCTTCTCTAACAAGGGGAGGGGTGGTGGTGGCTCCCTTTGGAGTGCGCGTTAAAAGAAAGCGACGCAGCACCGAAGAAGCAGCGCCGACGCCGTCAGCGAAGTAGAAGGCCGGCAACAACAGAAAGAACGCAACGAAGGGGGAAAAAAAACGGAAGATGAGGAAGGAGAGAAAACGACAGGAAAATGAGCTCTTACGCAAGACGGAGCGGATCGGAAGAACTCTCTCTTCTTCTTACTATTATTAAGCTTGCTGTAGTCCCTCTCAATGAAAGCATCGCATGCAGGTGAGGGAGGGGGAAGCCGCACGATAAAAAAACAACAACAACAACGAAGAACGACGCGGCGCGTCGTACAGGAGGAAGTGACCGATTTGCAAATATCGAGGTGCAACAACAGCAACGACAAGAGTGACAACAGAGGAACAAAAAAAAAAGGAATAGCTGATTTCTCTTTGTGTAGGGGTGGGTGGCAAGTGGTGCGAGGGATGCGGAGGGGCTGAATCGTGTAGAGGTATACGAAACGACCGCGTCGAGCAAACGCAAACGTAAAAGGAAAAAGAGAGATCAACAATAAAAGAAAAGATATATATGCAACGCAAATATATGCACCCGAGCACCCGTGCCGTTTCTGTGTTAATCGTTGTTTTTTTTAAAGTGAATTGACGGAAGCGTGTGTCTGTGTGGTGGGTGACACCCATAAAAAGGGATAATAATAATAATAATAATACGTCGGTCTGAACGGGGACGTTGGCGAGGAAGGACAGGAGCAAAAACAAAACAGATAACGAGAAGAAAAACGAGAAGGCTGCTTGTGTGGCGCTGAGGAAATGCGGTGGTGGAGGGATGCGACCGAAGGTGGGAGAGGAAGACGTATATGGAGAGAGAGAGGAGGGGGGGATTGATGCGGGGAAGACACCGGACAGAGTCACACACGTGCGTACCAACACACAGCGTGTACGGAAAGCCGATGCCCGCTCGGGGGACGTGTGCCAGATACCTGGTTCACACACACATACACACATACAAACATTCAAAGGAAATAAATTGGCCAACCTGAATAGCCCTAGAAAGAACGGCGGCGAAGCGGCCACAACGGCATCTTCGTGTTCCTCCCAAGGATGGAAACAGAACAAGAGCCCACGCGCATCACAACGGCGGAGTTCCCGCCATTTCCACAGCTGTTTAGGCGTAAACGTGCGCGAGTAAACTGCAAATCATATTTTTTATTTTTGAATGAATTAAAGAAAGAAAAAAAGTAATCAACAACGGCAGAAAAGAAGAGAGGAGATGACTCTCTTTCGATGTGTTTTTCTTCTTCTTTATATATATATATACACACACACACACATAGAAAGGTTCTTTGGTTTGTATGAAGTCCAAAGAAGGAACAACAGAAAAGAAACGTTCACTTCCTCAACGCCATGGCGCGCGTGACGTGCATTTGAAGGCCGACAGCAACAGCGGCAACAACGAAGGTATATTTAAAAAAAAAATGATGATAATTCGTACAGGAGTTTACGTGATACAAACGAGAACAATAATAAAACTTTAGAAAGGAAAACAAATCCCCGTAGAGGAGACGCTGAAGCCGTTCGCCGCCTTCCTCCTCTCCTCAAACACAAAATGCAGAAGGGCACGTCATCGCGCCCTGTCATACAAGTGTGAAGCTAACGCTAACGCACACACACACACACACATACATACATACATACATAATCGAAGGTATCTTTAAAAAGGAAAAAGGGAGTGGAGTAAGGTCAATGCGAGGTATATCGTATATATCCCACAGGGCGGTTTTTCGCGCGAAGGAGGAAAAACCCAGAAACGACCACCACCACCAACCTTTGGAGCCATACCGAAACAGAAATACGAACAATACAAAAGAAAAGAGAACAAAGAACACACAGTTCGCCATGAACCGTAAAGAAGAAGAGAACAAGAGACAACAACCAGAAAAGAGCAAAAAAAACATCTGCTCTTCATCGATCGTCTCGATTCCCGTTCAAATAGGAATCGTGTGCGCCGTCGAGGTTGGCCACTTTCGCGCCAACAGCGCACAAGGCGAGAAGAAAAGCGAGAAAAGGGAGGAGGGAGGGATAGAAAAGGAAATAGAAAGAGGTAACAGGAAGAGGATAAGCAAATAAAGAAGTATATATATACATATATATACATGTGTAAGGGAAATAATAATAATAATAAAACAGTACAATATGCGAGGAACTCGAATGTCGGAAGAGGAACAAGAAAAAAGAAAAGAAAAAGAAATGTGTTACAGGAGTGATGGAAGAGAACAAATAACACACAGAGAGGAAGGGAAGAGGCAAGAAACGTGAAGAAGCATTTCCGCCGCGATACAGGTGAAAAGGCAAAAAAAAGAGAGAAATCAGCAATTATAACAATAAAGGAACATGGAGAGGCGAAGATAAAGCACGTAGAGGCCATGTGTAGGTGTATGTGCGTGTGCGCACGACACATACCATGAATTACAATGCGGCAGCGGTGAGCATCATAGGACAGCCACAACAGCCGAAATGCAGCAGAATCGAACGACGAAAACCTCGTACATGCGAGAGGCACCGATCAGCACGTAGGTGGCCCGCTAAACATCCTCCTTCCGTTCTTCTTCATTGCTGAGAGGTTGGCTCGTGGTCTAGGAAACAACACACACACACACACACACGCCCACCTCACCAAAAGTATATTCCCGTGTTTTCTCTGAGAAATGACTATGAAAAATGGGACCTGCCAATAACGGAGGACACGCAACAACAAACAAACCCCAGAAAACACACAAAACAAGGGGAAGGGCGGAGATAATAATAATAATAATAATAAAAGCGCCCATCGGTGTGACCTCAGCCGTTCGCCGATGATGGGGTCCCCGTCTGTGGCAGCGTCGAACGCCGATTGGTGCCGCAGCACGAGTGCGCGGGTGGGAGGAGAGGCAACAAAACGGCAACGAGAGAAAGGGAGGGAGGGAGAGCGAAAGCCGCGGCGGAGAACCACAAGAAAGCCTTCACGAGAGACCGAAATAACAAAAAAAAGGGAAAAGAAAAGAAAACCAGAACACCCGCAAAGTAGAAGAATAACAAGAGTGGACGTCTCACTTGCGCTTTGTGATAACGATCACGAAGCGCAAAGAAAGAAAGAAGAAGACAAACATCCAGCGAAACAGTCCATCCCCATGCGCTGCACACGGAAGCAATTTCTCATTTTTTTAAAATAATTAATTAAGCGTCGTTTCTGTTGTTTTGTCGTTTAACGAACTGGCGCCTCCGTTTTCCCTGGTCCTTACTGTCGCCTCCTCACGAGTAGGCAGCCTGGCTTGTGCTCACGTACATGCTGGGGTCCATGTGACGCACCGTCGCGACCGGACGGGTGTAGGCCGGACGCGCAGGTGCCGGCGCCGGGGCCACGTAGTTCGACTGCGCCGTCGTCGTGTAGAAGTTCGGGTCGACGTGGTGGACGCAGCCCTGCGGCCGCCGCGGTGTTGGCGCCGGGGGCGGCAGGTTGCCGTAGGGACGGTAGTTCTGCTTGTACTCCGTTTCGTAGTTCACCTTCGGCCGTGGACGCGACGGCGCTGGTGCCGCCTTCTTCGCGGGCTTCTCCGCCGCCTCCGCCGGCTTCGTCGCAGGTTTCTCGTCAGCCGGCTTCGGGGCCTGAAGGGCCGACGGTGCAGAAGGTGTGGCACCGCTGCGGACGGATGCGCGCGGCGTGGCCGGCACGGATGAGCGCACGGACGGCGGCACCGACGACCTCCGCGGCGTCGCCTGCTTTGCCTGCGGCGGAATCTTCAGCGGCGGCACAGGCTCCTTCTTCTCCTCGTCCTGCGGCGCCTGCTCCGGGCGACAGTAATCCTTCCTGTAGGTGCTGTCATAGGCTGTCGGGTCTGCCGGCGCACGACGCATGCGCGGAGTCTGCGACGGCGGCTTCTCTTGCTCCTTCGTGGCCTCCGGCGCGCGCGGTGTCGTGCCCTTGCCGGGCACCACCTCCGTCGGTCGGTTCTCGTACGCCTCCGTGTCGTAGGGCTTATAGTCCTCGCCGTACGTGGACTTGTACATCGCCGGATCCATCGGCGCCCGAAGCGATGTCGGCGCCGGCACCTCCTCCGGTACGTCTTTCGCCACCGGATCATTAGCGTCCGACTTCCCTGTCTCTTCGTTGTCCGGTGGGGTCTCCTTCGCCGGCTTCAAAGGAGAATTGGTTCCCGTCTCCGTTGGCGGCGCAGCACACTCGTCTTCCCTCTCTGACTGCTGACG